TGAGTACTTTTGCCATCTCTGCTGCAGTGTGGGGACTGTAAAATCAACATCCCAAAGAGAAGTCAGAAGTTCGGTATCCATTCTTTGTGTGCTTTGTGAGTCAACTGTCACTGTTGCTAAGCGACAGAGTGTATGGGCGGTGAAAGCCGAAGAAGGCTGGACCTGTTTGAATCAATAGCTAAAACACTTTCAGCATTATTTTCACAGACCTCCAAAGACCCGATCTACCTGGACCGGGTCCTTGGAGGACGCAGCCTCTGAAATCAAACACACCCAGCAACTCGTAGGGAATCCCTCACACCAAGCATGTTTGTAGCCACAGTGGATAGAAAAACTTTTTTAACAAGGAAGAAACCTCAGTGTGAGCGGACATCTGCTAAAGCCGACTGGGGTTTTAGGAGACAGAAGCAAGATAGAAGTTTTATAAACTGAAATTAGAAAATTAGAAAAAAAAGATACAAACCAGAAATAAAAAAAGTTCTTAATCAAAAGAAAAACTTTCACATTCATTTCTTAGAATCTTCTGAGTTAAACGATTTTAGTTTTCCAGATCACATCCTCTTCCTCTTTAGGGCTTTCCTCTGGAGGGAGGAGTGAAGATGCATTTCTCTGGTTTTATTAGGTCTGCACGGACATTTGCAACTTTTTAATTGCTCAATCTGTGCATCAAGAGATGTCAGATTGAGCTTGAAGGGAAGAGAATGTGATCTATAAAACAAAATGAATTAAAAAAAAAGCATTTCGTAAAAATCAATCTTGAAGAAAAAATAGCAACTGAAAAGAATATGTACATTTTTTAAAGAGTAATTTCTGGATTTTCTTTTTAAAAAATTCCATCCACAACAAGCGTTTTTGTCTGCAGGAATAACGGAACAAAATTCATCCATATTTAGGAGATCCTTGCATGCAGGGTGCATTCAGCAGCTGCTTCTTAACAGTTGTAAGATGACCTTCAGGCTCCACACAGAGCCTCCTGAGATTTCTGTTACAATGAGTCTAAGAGCCAGAAAAAGATCAATCAGGCTGCAGAACCTCAGAGTGATCAGCTCACATCGATCTTCAGACTCACAAACCTTTAATAGGACATCATGAGAGCTCTGCGTCTGAGGGTTCCAACTTATTTCTATTTTATTTGCTGATGTGTTTATTCCATGGATCTTTTTCCAGAGGAGAAGATTCCAGACTT